AAACATTTAAGCATATCATTTATAGAATCTTTCCTTTGGAATATTAATATGCATTTAAAAACGGGGAATTCACATTCAGAAAATCCCTATGAGTCATTTAGAATGCCTTAAAAATAAAATATTTTTCTTCCCATTAATGTTATCTCTTCAGCAGGTCCTTCAAAGAATTAACTTTGACCCTATTGATTTTTTAAATGTTACAAAACCTAGAAAAGAACTTAAAAGATGTTAATTAATTTTTATGTAAACCTTTTCTTGTAATACACCTAGTTCAGGATAACATTGGTTATATATAGTTAAACAATTATAATCTGTAATATTAATTATTTACTCTCTGTCCTTTCACTTTGTCTATTTTTTGGAACACTGTTGACAATCTGTAATTATGTTGTTTATTTAATTATTTGATTTCCTGTTCCCACTTATCTTCTCCAGAAAATTAATTCCATGAGGACAAAGGCTATGTCATTCTTATTTACTACCATATCTCCAACCCCTAGCACAGTTCTTGGCATATGTTTGTTGTTACAAAGGGAAAGACAAGAGGAGGGGGTGGGGGGAGGGGAGAAGCAGAAAGGTAGTGTACAAGGAGATGTTCAGAGAACCAAGCAGTAGAGAAGCCAACCCATCCATATCAAGTGTGTAGGAGAATCTTAAGGATAATGTCTGAAGAATACATATTTCTAACAAAGTATATTTATTTCCTGACCCCTCAGGCTTTGATGCAATTTGTCAAGTAGAGAGTGAATATAACTTCTTCTCCTCAACTTCACAAATGTGATGTACTTTGTATAAACAGAGGAACACTGAGCTCTGATCTACTGGATCACTGTGACTGTGACATGGTCGTGATTAGTTTGAGGAAAAATAGCTTGCAAAGGATCAGGAAGAGCTCAGCCTCTGATGTGCTCTTGAACAAATGATTGGTGTGTCTTTCCATGAGTTTACTGTTGCTGTTTTTCTGTCTCACCAAGGAGAATAAAGAAAAAGACAGAATTGGAAGATTCTACTCCATTGTCCTTCTATACCCTCACCCCTCATCACCATGACCTGACTTGAGACCATCAGAACTGATCCCATATACTTTTACCTCTTTTATGAGAGTCAGTATAATAATCTTTGGTTTCTAAGTCATGATATATGCCCAGAAAACTAATATCCACACATCTCCACAGCAGGGAAACAATCCTCTCCACCCACCTCTGGCATTTTCTTTTTTTCTTTCTAGTTTTATTTGTCCTCAAATAAGTTATTGTCTGATATACAATATATTTTACTTATGTATTTATTTGTTCCCCCTTTACTAGCATATAAGTTATACGTGGGAGGGATCTTTATCTTGTTTTCAGAATCTAGGAGTCTGGCACACAGTAGATAGTCAAAAATGATTTGTTGAATAGATATCTAAATAAACAAATGAAAGAGAATAATGAGGAGAATTGTTTACTTTGGGAGGAACTGGGTGTTTTGTTTTTATTTTTGTTTTTGTTGTTGTTTTTGAACAAAAAAGAATATAATACAAAAACACTGAATCATCCCTGAGTTATTACAATTCCTCATGCAACCTTGACAGTTCTATTACTTTGAAATTAAATATGTATCCCCTCTGGGATGCTGTGTATCTGAGCTCCCTGGATGACATACATTCTACTAATACTTCTATTTTGTCATACTGACTCTAATCTCTGTGGAACCCAAGATTCATGAAACTTGATTTTTTTTTTTTTTTTTAAAGATTTTATTTATTTATTTGACAGAGAGAGATCACAAGTAGACAGAGAGGCAGGCAGAGAGAGAGAGGGAAGCAGGCTCCCTGCTGAGCAGAGAGCCCGATGCGGGACTCGATCCCAGGACCCTGAGATCATGACCTGAGCCGAAGGCAGCGGCTTAACCCACTGAGCCACCCAGGCGCCCCAATGAAACTTGATTTTTGATCATTAAAGAATGTGAGACTCTTTGTCTTTTAGCCTTAGAGAGTTCACCAAACACTGGTAAATTTGGGAAAAACACTCAATATTTTACAGTAGATAACCAATGAAATTATGAGTTATCTCCTTAATTAAATCTTCATTGTAGGATATGTAAGATATATAAAAAAAATTAAAAATACATATATATATATGTATATATATATATATATGTATTTTTTTCACAATATATTCAGTGAGTGTGGCTCTGTCATGATCACCAGGTGAAAAATAACACATGTGTTTTGGGAGCCTAGACAGGGAAGCTTTCAGAATCAGTGCCAGACATAAATAAAGGAAATGCTGGCAGCTATGAAAGCCCTAAAAGTTTGGATCCCTGTGTCAAAGAATGCTTAATGTATTTACTGTACACTTGGGAAGGAAATCTGCTTACTTTCTTGCTGACAGACATTTTGATAAGCTTATCAAAACTCTAGATATCTAAAGCAATTGATCCATTGAGACACTTTGATAAGCTTATCAAAACTCTAGATATCTAAAGCAATTGATCCATTGAATGAAAGGTCATAGGAAAGTATCTCTCTCTTTTGGAATACCCCAGACTGTACACAGATCCATTAGGAAACCTAAAGGGCAGAAGAAGTTACTAGGAAATATGTTTTAAGTAGGCTGTTTTTTGACCAAAAAATGGAATAAATGAAGAAAATATGTACTTGAAATTTTGATGATAAGAATCACCTCTCTCCCGTACATGGACATGGTCCAATATAGGTGAACAGAGTTGGGGTTTTTTGCTTTTCGTTTTTGGCTTTAAAAAACTTCTAGCCAGGACCATTTGTTTTGCTAAGGCACACTCATTAGAACACATCCAGTTTACGTTGTACAATCATGATCAAATGAAGACCAAGATCAAATCAAGTTCTATCTAGTCTTATGCTGGCATTCAGGGAAAAAAGGTAGAAGTTCATTCTCTTTGTCTAATACATGACTTAATCTGAGTAAACTATTAAAATAGAAAATATGAAACAGAAAATGATGAAGATTTTTCTCCAGGTTTTTCCATCTCCTTCTCTTTATGAACATGTATGAGAATAAAAACCACTAAAATATATCCTTAAAATACGTGACCAAAACCTGGTGTCACTTCATCCTTAAAATCACCGCAATGCTTGCATTGTAGTTCTTTAGGAAGAGCCTCGTGAGGTCAGATGAAATACGCTGCCCCCCTACCACCCGGGAAAAAGTCATTTTCCATGATCTAACAAATAACAGATGGAAAATGACGGGGAGCTCTGTTGCTTTCTAAATAGAAAAGCAGTATTAGTTTTCTCACTGGCTTATGGGAGAGGTGGCTTCAGCCATGAGGTAGTTTTGTTAATGCCTCCAGCTGGACTGTGCAAGAGTGTAGGGCTTAATAATCTCTCTCAACAATATCTATTTATGCGGATCAATTAAAGCAGATAAATGTTTTGCCTGGCACCCCCCGCCCCCAAGGCAGCAAATACGAACTTCACCAATGAAATGTGAATACATTGCACAAGAGTAGATAACTCAGTATATTGTGGAAGTTCTGTTTGGCTAGGCTCAGGTGGCTGGGACTGGAGGGGGCTGGAGGCTCTAGGGACCCTTATGCTAAGCTCCATCCTCAGAGCTACCTCTACAGCTCATCCATGCTTAGGAGTAACGGAACTTTTAACATGGGACTGTTCCCAAAAGGGTTATTAAAAAAGTAGTTCAATAGCATCTGAGAATCTTTAGAAGTTGGTATTGCTAATCTGCCATCGATCTAACAAAGGAAGTCTGAAGCATACTGCTTTCTCAAAAACAGTAATACATCGTGAATACACAGCAGTGCCTGTGCAAGCTGGTGTGGAAATCGGCAGTGAATTGTTTGAATAAGAAACACGTTACATTAATTTTTTTTTTTTTTACTTTAAATGATTTACTTTGGAGTGCACATTATGTGTGGTCTTGCATCTATATGAGTATGTGTGTGCATGTTTATGGACATACATGCATGTGTGTGTGTGTGTGTGTGTGTGTGTAATCTTCAGGGTAACCATGAGAGATAAGTGTTGCTATCTGCAATTTCTAATTGAGGAAATGTTCAATGGTTTGCCAGAAATTATAGAAGTGGCCTTGGCAGGAGCAGAACCCAGACCTGGCTGAATTCAAGAGCCTGCATTTTCTGATTACATGGCACTGCCTTTTAAAAAACACACACTATAATGTAAAATACTGCCTCTGTATGTGGGAGACTATGAAAAGCCATGGACACAGTTCTGCAGCCCCCCAGATAGACAGGAATGTTTGAAAAGTCTTGAGGCTCTTTTATTTGAGAGGCAATAGTTAGAGCAGTTGAGTATAAAAAAGCTACAGCTTCAGTCCATAGGACAGAGCACGGAGTAGAAAGGCAGTTTGATGATTTTTCTCACTCACACTTGGGTAGATTTTCATCATCAATTGGAGCATTAATTCTCTCTGGCTCCTGGAAACAGTTATTTGCTTAATAGCTCTTTTGTGACCCCGGGAGTTTACGCACAATCCCAAATGGCTTAACTTCCAGCTGAGGAGGAGTTTAGGCAGAGAAGAAGAAAAAAAAAAAAAAAGCTAACTTCATTTTTCACAAATAATTTGGAGTGAAAATTGGAACAAACAATCTCACTATTTTTGTTGAGAAAGAGTCCTGTTTTATTTTGACAGAGGTCACTGAGACGTAGGAGGCAATTTTCATGTGGAGATAGTTCCTTGAGTCAGTGTAAATGGAGCAAAGAAAATGAGTAAAATACAAAACGTCCTTGTAAAGTTCAGATTTTTCTGGGTCCTACTGTGAAATTTTTGTATTAGAAAGTTAGGACTAAATTCTAAGTACCTATCTGAACTTTTTAACTTTTTATCTTTGGAATGGTTAAAAATAATTGTCCAGTAACTGAAAATCTGGATTTTTCATAGGTTCAGTTATTTGCCCTATTGCAGACTTAAAATGATCTATTAAATGATTATTATGTATAATGAATTATGCTATAGAAATGTTAAGAAGGTTATAATTGTATGGTTTCATTTTCCTGTCAGGTGATAAAACAGGAAGAACTTGGCAAGGATCTTTCTGATTGTACTTTGTATGATCTACTGAAATATGATGATTTTAACTCTGACAAGCACCTGGCTCTTGAAGAACTTTATAGAACATTCCGTGAGTATAATATCCATTCTCTAATTCTTCATTCTTTTTCCTGTTTCTTTGCACAATACCATGTGTTTGCTTGATCTCAGAGTACAAGTTGTTTTTTTTTTTTTAAGAGAAGTGATATATAAGTAAGATAATTTAAGTACTTAAATGTTGTTGAAATATATGTAAAAGCTAAGGAGTTTAATGATTCTAAAATGAAAAACTGGGAATACTTGATAACCCTAGATATCCGTTCTTACTGATTTTAGTTGAAAACATTAATTCCACAATGTTGTTTCTAAGGTTTGAAGTAGGAGCAGTACTTGACTGGCTTTCACTGTATGTCAAAACCAATTTAATTATTTTCACAGTGACTTTTTTGTTTTTACACTATTGGAAAACTAAAGCAGATTCCTAGATAGAGTTTACATTATGGTAACAAGCATAGGAATGGAAAAATTGTATTTATGTTAAGGTGTTTGGTATAATGTTAAGGTACTTTGGAATAATTTATATATATTTCAATTGCTTAAAGACTTCTTTTTTAATTTATTTTATTTTATTTTATTTTTTATTTATTTATTTGACAGATAGAGATCGCAAGTAGGCAGAGAGGCAGGCAGAGAGAGAGGAGGAAGCAGGCTCCACTGTACACTTGGGAAGGAAATCTGCTTACTTTCTTGCTGACAGACATTTTGATAAGCTTATCAAAACTCTAGATATCTAAAGCAATTGATCCATTGAGACACTTTGATAAGCTTATCAAAACTCTAGATATCTAAAGCAATTGATCCATTGAATGAAAGGTCATAGGAAAGTATCTCTCTCTTTTGGAATACCCCAGACTGTACACAGATCCATTAGGAAACCTAAAGGGCAGAAGAAGTTACTAGGAAATATGTTTTAAGTAGGCTGTTTTTTGACCAAAAAATGGAATAAATGAAGAAAATATGTACTTGAAATTTTGATGATAAGAATCACCTCTCTCCCGTACATGGACATGGTCCAATATAGGTGAACAGAGTTGGGGTTTTTTGCTTTTCGTTTTTGGCTTTAAAAAACTTCTAGCCAGGACCATTTGTTTTGCTAAGGCACACTCATTAGAACACATCCAGTTTACGTTGTACAATCATGATCAAATGAAGACCAAGATCAAATCAAGTTCTATCTAGTCTTATGCTGGCATTCAGGGAAAAAAGGTAGAAGTTCATTCTCTTTGTCTAATACATGACTTAATCTGAGTAAACTATTAAAATAGAAAATATGAAACAGAAAATGATGAAGATTTTTCTCCAGGTTTTTCCATCTCCTTCTCTTTATGAACATGTATGAGAATAAAAACCACTAAAATATATCCTTAAAATACGTGACCAAAACCTGGTGTCACTTCATCCTTAAAATCACCGCAATGCTTGCATTGTAGTTCTTTAGGAAGAGCCTCGTGAGGTCAGATGAAATACGCTGCCCCCCTACCACCCGGGAAAAAGTCATTTTCCATGATCTAACAAATAACAGATGGAAAATGACGGGGAGCTCTGTTGCTTTCTAAATAGAAAAGCAGTATTAGTTTTCTCACTGGCTTATGGGAGAGGTGGCTTCAGCCATGAGGTAGTTTTGTTAATGCCTCCAGCTGGACTGTGCAAGAGTGTAGGGCTTAATAATCTCTCTCAACAATATCTATTTATGCGGATCAATTAAAGCAGATAAATGTTTTGCCTGGCACCCCCCGCCCCCAAGGCAGCAAATACGAACTTCACCAATGAAATGTGAATACATTGCACAAGAGTAGATAACTCAGTATATTGTGGAAGTTCTGTTTGGCTAGGCTCAGGTGGCTGGGACTGGAGGGGGCTGGAGGCTCTAGGGACCCTTATGCTAAGCTCCATCCTCAGAGCTACCTCTACAGCTCATCCATGCTTAGGAGTAACGGAACTTTTAACATGGGACTGTTCCCAAAAGGGTTATTAAAAAAGTAGTTCAATAGCATCTGAGAATCTTTAGAAGTTGGTATTGCTAATCTGCCATCGATCTAACAAAGGAAGTCTGAAGCATACTGCTTTCTCAAAAACAGTAATACATCGTGAATACACAGCAGTGCCTGTGCAAGCTGGTGTGGAAATCGGCAGTGAATTGTTTGAATAAGAAACACGTTACATTAATTTTTTTTTTTTTTACTTTAAATGATTTACTTTGGAGTGCACATTATGTGTGGTCTTGCATCTATATGAGTATGTGTGTGCATGTTTATGGACATACATGCATGTGTGTGTGTGTGTGTGTGTGTGTGTAATCTTCAGGGTAACCATGAGAGATAAGTGTTGCTATCTGCAATTTCTAATTGAGGAAATGTTCAATGGTTTGCCAGAAATTATAGAAGTGGCCTTGGCAGGAGCAGAACCCAGACCTGGCTGAATTCAAGAGCCTGCATTTTCTGATTACATGGCACTGCCTTTTAAAAAACACACACTATAATGTAAAATACTGCCTCTGTATGTGGGAGACTATGAAAAGCCATGGACACAGTTCTGCAGCCCCCCAGATAGACAGGAATGTTTGAAAAGTCTTGAGGCTCTTTTATTTGAGAGGCAATAGTTAGAGCAGTTGAGTATAAAAAAGCTACAGCTTCAGTCCATAGGACAGAGCACGGAGTAGAAAGGCAGTTTGATGATTTTTCTCACTCACACTTGGGTAGATTTTCATCATCAATTGGAGCATTAATTCTCTCTGGCTCCTGGAAACAGTTATTTGCTTAATAGCTCTTTTGTGACCCCGGGAGTTTACGCACAATCCCAAATGGCTTAACTTCCAGCTGAGGAGGAGTTTAGGCAGAGAAGAAGAAAAAAAAAAAAAAAGCTAACTTCATTTTTCACAAATAATTTGGAGTGAAAATTGGAACAAACAATCTCACTATTTTTGTTGAGAAAGAGTCCTGTTTTATTTTGACAGAGGTCACTGAGACGTAGGAGGCAATTTTCATGTGGAGATAGTTCCTTGAGTCAGTGTAAATGGAGCAAAGAAAATGAGTAAAATACAAAACGTCCTTGTAAAGTTCAGATTTTTCTGGGTCCTACTGTGAAATTTTTGTATTAGAAAGTTAGGACTAAATTCTAAGTACCTATCTGAACTTTTTAACTTTTTATCTTTGGAATGGTTAAAAATAATTGTCCAGTAACTGAAAATCTGGATTTTTCATAGGTTCAGTTATTTGCCCTATTGCAGACTTAAAATGATCTATTAAATGATTATTATGTATAATGAATTATGCTATAGAAATGTTAAGAAGGTTATAATTGTATGGTTTCATTTTCCTGTCAGGTGATAAAACAGGAAGAACTTGGCAAGGATCTTTCTGATTGTACTTTGTATGATCTACTGAAATATGATGATTTTAACTCTGACAAGCACCTGGCTCTTGAAGAACTTTATAGAACATTCCGTGAGTATAATATCCATTCTCTAATTCTTCATTCTTTTTCCTGTTTCTTTGCACAATACCATGTGTTTGCTTGATCTCAGAGTACAAGTTGTTTTTTTTTTTTTAAGAGAAGTGATATATAAGTAAGATAATTTAAGTACTTAAATGTTGTTGAAATATATGTAAAAGCTAAGGAGTTTAATGATTCTAAAATGAAAAACTGGGAATACTTGATAACCCTAGATATCCGTTCTTACTGATTTTAGTTGAAAACATTAATTCCACAATGTTGTTTCTAAGGTTTGAAGTAGGAGCAGTACTTGACTGGCTTTCACTGTATGTCAAAACCAATTTAATTATTTTCACAGTGACTTTTTTGTTTTTACACTATTGGAAAACTAAAGCAGATTCCTAGATAGAGTTTACATTATGGTAACAAGCATAGGAATGGAAAAATTGTATTTATGTTAAGGTGTTTGGTATAATGTTAAGGTACTTTGGAATAATTTATATATATTTCAATTGCTTAAAGACTTCTTTTTTAATTTATTTTATTTTATTTTATTTTTTATTTATTTATTTGACAGATAGAGATCGCAAGTAGGCAGAGAGGCAGGCAGAGAGAGAGGAGGAAGCAGGCTCCCCGCTGAGCAGAGAGCCTGATGTGGGGCTCGATCCCAGAACCCTGGGATCATGACCTGAGCCGAAGGCAGAGGCTTCAACCCACTGAGCCACCCAGGCGCCCCGCTTAAAGACTTCTTAAAATTGATTATATGTGCTTTATAAAAGGGAGTTATGAAGATGACCTGGCTTTAAAAAGTTACCTACTAAGTTATTCTTTAAAAATAATTCAAAATGGAAAGACTAGGAGACAAAAATGAGAAAGGAAAGATATAGGAGATGTATGTAAAAATTAAATTAACTGGCTGGTGTTTGAAAATCACCAAAGAATCAAAGTTCAAAAGGATTTAATTTAGCACTGAAACCAGTATTTTTTATATCTATCTACCATCTATCATCTATCTTTAATATGTTATATGTATACACATGTATATGTTACTTTCCAGAAAGGCAGGAAATAATATATGTGCTTGGTGTGAAAAGATCTCTTTTGAATCATACCTCTGCCATCTATCAGTGGTCTAATATTAGAGAAATTAATTAAATTTCTGAAAATTCATATAAACAAGGGTAGTAATTTTCTTGTCATATGATAATTTTATGTTAAACATTAAATTATATGGTATGTAAAATTTGGTGCACGTAAAACAATATATGTGAAATAGTTGCAGGTTACAAAGCTTTAAGGCAAGATATCAGTATGCTCTTCAGATTTAATTAAATTTCATTTCCATTTTAGATTAAAAAGCAGGATCACAAGGGAGGACAACTCCATAAACAATCTCCTAAAAGTATGTCACAAGGTGAAACTCTATTTCAAAGTTAACAACAAGAAAGCAGTATTATTATTCTGTGTTTGTATGAAGAAATTGAAGTACAGAGAAGTTAAGAATTAAGTGGCTGGGGGCACCTGGGTGGCTTAGTGGGTTAAGCCTCTGCCTTTGGCTCGGGTCATGATCCCAGGGTCCTGGGATCGAGCCCCACATTG